ACTACAAATAAGGCTGAACTGCTATTCCTTAACAGTTATGGAATCCCAGCTCTGGGCTAAGTTTCTTCCAGAAGCTGCTAACCAGAGCTCTTAAGATCAGTGAGAACATTCCTGCTCTACCTCTTAACAAGGTATCAGTTGTGACTATCATTGTTCTGACTACCACATCGCCCTGTGGTATTGCACAGCAACAAGTATTCACACTTGTTGGAAAACAGCCCTGACCATTGCTTTGTGTCTGGATGAGAAAGGTTCACTGATAAACAAAAGGAGCCAGCTTCTGGGCTTTTTCTCGTGCGGGTTGGAACTTTGTGAATGGTAGTGAGCAAAAGAGGGTTTTCTGTAGACCATCTTGACTGCTGGCATAGGTAAAGGTAAAGGTTCTCCTTGACAATTTTTGTCCAGTCGTGTTCGACTCTAGGGGGCGGTGCTCATCCCCGTTTCCAAGCCATAGAGCCAGCGTTTTGTCCGAAGACTATCTTCCGTGGTCACATGGCCAGTGTGACTTAGACACGGAATGCTGTTACCTTCCCACCGAGGTGGTCCCTATTTATCTACTTGCATTTGCATGCTTTCGAACCGCTAGGTTGGCGGGAGCTGGGACAAGCGACGGTGGCTCACTCCGTCGCGTGGATTTGATCTTACGACTGCTTGGTCTTCTGACCCTGCAGCACAGGCTTCTGCGGTTTAGCCCACAGCGCCACCACGCCCACTGCTGACATAGGGTATTGTCAATATTCAGCTTGACCTTTCCTGTGTAAAGCTTTCATCCTTTTTCCTGCTGGCAATGCGGGCATGATGTTATGCAGCAATATTGGACCTTTTCCTGGCTTTTTGAATTGTGGGTACAGAAGTACAATATCCCACATTCATAAGCTGGAGGTTTTTTGAACAATTGAATTAAAGTCTCCCATCCCAAAGTAAGTCTGGCTATTATGCTTACATATTCAGAGTTCTCATGTGTGATGTTTCTCCCCCCTTTTATCTTTTCGCTCCTTTGTCCATACACACTTCTCACCTGACCTTCGATGCCAAATTGAGTTGGGTGGTTCAATATAACACTGAAGCTCATTTCTGAGATTTTGTTTATTGCCAGCAAAAGCAGTCAGCTGGTAATTGCAAGGAGAGCACTTCTGCTGAGAAGGCCTGACTGCAGGGGAGGAGTGAGAACATTTACTTTGCTATTATGCATGCCAGAACTATCCAGATTATGTAGGTATCTGACCCCATTCTCTGACAGCCCTTGCCCTTCCAGTGGTTTTAAGGTATGCATCTATTCTGTACTATGTCATTTTCTCCATTCCTTTGTAAAATGGAAGGAAAAAGGAAAGCAGTGTTGCAGCATCAGAGGTTTTGTTGCTAATAACGTTGTTCTGATACAGATGGAGTGATACCTGGCTTGGCAGTGGTATATATGGTCTTAGAGCAGTGGTTCCCAACCGTAGGTCCCTGATGTTCTTGGAGTATCAACTCCCAGAAATCCTGCCCAGCACAGCTAGTGGTGAAGGCTTCTGGGAGTTTTATTCTAAGAACACTTGCAGAACCAAGGCTTCAAACCATTATTTTAGAAAATCATAAAGAGAACCTGGGATAAAAGGGTGGCGTGGTAACCAGAAAGCTAATGTAATTCTTGACTGCATCAGCAGAATTGGGGTGGTGTGATCAAGGGAGATAGCAGTACTGCTCCATCTGCTTTGATCAGATTCACCTGGAGTACGCTGGCCACCCCAGTTTAAGAACTTTGAAGGTGTTCAAGAGAAAATTGGACAACCATCTGTCAGATCTGCTTTCCTGAATCTGGATTCCTGCATTGAGCAGGGAGTTGATAGCCTTAAAGGCCCCTTCCAACCCAACTGTTCTGTAATTCTAAGAAGGATATGACCAGAGTGGGATGTGTTTAGAGGAGAGTAACCTAACTAGTGGAGCATGCAGAAACCAAGTCCTATGGAGAATCATTGAGAGATTTGGTTACATGTAGCCTGAAGAAGATTGAAGATTTCCAAACACTCACCTGTAGATTTACTTCTAGATTTTGGTGACCTCCATGTTTTGGTGCCCTAGCTCAAAGCCCCAACTGTTCAGTCCTACTTACAACCCTACTTAGCAAGCCGACGACCTTTGGTGAAGGCTGGTAACTTTTGTGGATTTGTTTATAAGTCTCAAGTATTCTTTTACAGGAAAAAAAATTAAAGGCCAGCAGTGTATCCTTGATAACTGCTCAGCACTCTGGAAAGTGTATCCACACTCTGCTGTTAAGCAGATTCCTAAATAACACAAAATTGCCAGTCCTTGGTTCTCTCCCAAGCAATGTTTCATGCCAAAGGATCTTCATGATTGGCCTTGCTTACAAAGTTGTCCTTCTTCAAATATTACAGCTTCACGCTGCAAGATACTCACTGTATTATAAAGAAAATTACTGCCACTGTGTTTTCTAAGGACAAGACTAGACATAACATTTACTTCCCAATGACCATTCAGAAAACAAAACAAGGTAATCTGCAAGACAAGCTATGATACTATGACAGACAGTGTTGAGCACCTAAGGGATTCCTGCTTGTAATGATGCAATACCTTTATTGTACAGTTTGATCCTTTACAACACTTTTCAGATGGATAAGCCACTACTTTTCTCTTTGCTGCACCAGAACAGCAGATGATTCCAGCCATGAAAAGTTACTTTGACTGAGAATTCCCAGAATCTTCCAGACACCAAGGACATGCTAGAGATAATCTCTAGAAGTAAATTCAGAACTGACACTGGGCTCCTCTTAAAAAACAAATGAGCAACAGACCTTGAAGAAATCTCCACCTAGCAGGAAGAGCTCTGGGCAAGGTGGTCATGACTGTCCTTTTCCTTGCGCTGTGCCTGAGTGGCAAGTGTAGGCAGTACAGTGGTGCCTCGCTTAACGACGTTAATTTGTTCCAGCGAAATCGCTGTAGAGCAAAAACGTCGTAAACCGAAAATAAAAAACCCATTGAAATGCTTTAAAACTTGGTTAATGTGTTCCAATGGGCTAAAAACTCACCGTCCAGCGAAGGTCCTCCATACGGTGGCCATTTTCGGTGCCTCTATCGCGAGGAATCCATCCCTAAGCACAGCAGGGAGTCATTTTGAGCACCCGGCAGCCATTTTGAAAACCCAACAATCAGCTGTTTTGATCATCGTACGTGATGGATCGGTTCCCGAAGCAGGGAACCAATCTTCGCAAAGCGAAAAAACCCCATTTTAAACATCGTTTTGTGATCGCAATTCAACCAATCTTCGCAAAGCGAAAAAAACCCAATTTAGACATCGTTTTGTGATCACAGTTCCAATCGAAAAAACATCATCATGAAGCGGATTTGTCATAATGTGGGGTAATCGTTAAGCGGGGCACAACTGTACACCTGTCCTCTTTCCCCCAAATGCCTGATCCAGGCCACCTCCTTTTACAGTTGAACAAAAACCAACTATCCAATTAAGCTGAGCTTAATTGGTTTTGGCTTGAACCAATAGCACAGTTCTTACACTCTTACGTCTTACTTAGTTTCTGTAAAGTGCGGACATTGCAAGTCCTAGGCTTGGACTATAAAGTACAGAAACTAGTGGATGCCTTGAATTAAATATATCTTTCACCTATGAGACAAATGTTTTCTTCAGAATTTACACTTTGTCACCTTACCAAAACTGAGACAGAGAACTTTAAACCTACACACCTGTTTCTCTTGAAAATTAACTCTTCTGCCATTTGAAGATTAAGTTGTTTATAGAGCAATGTTAAGCAATAAGCTCTGAAAAGATAAATGGGCCCCCTGGAAGCACTCTTTAATTTTTCCCCATGAATAAAAAGACATTCCAGGTGCCACTGAAAAAATGGTTCAGTTTGCTTTATTAACTTAAATACGGCACTACTGTTTTGAAGCATTGTTTTCTAAGGCCATTTCTTTAAAGTACTTGACACTCTTGACTTGATGCTGTGGCATTTCTCACAAAAGCTGATTTCCCTTTAAAAAAACTCAAAGAAACAAGTTCTTCTCTCTAATCCTACCCTGCTTTAGTGTTCGGTCCAAGGCAAATGAATATAAATTAGTGTTTGCGTTTTTTTTAAGTCCCTGTTTTCTTAATTTAGCTTCTGTTCTGAGGGGCAAATGCTTGTGTGTTTTGATCTGGAATAATATTAATCTTGGGCTGTCAAGACAGTTCTGACTTATGGATACCCTTTTCAGGGTTTTCAAGGTAGAGAATACTCAGAAGTGGGTGACCATCCCCTTCCTCTGGGGGTTCCTTGGGTCTGTGCAGCTTGCCCAAGGCCACAGAGGTTGGCTGTCCTCATAGGAGGCACAGTGGGGAATCAAACTTACAACCTCTGGCACTGAGCTATCCAGGCAGTGTATATTTTACTGGTAAGAGCACATTCTTCCTATGCAAGAAGCCATCTGCAACTAAAAGGATCAGGCATCAGGTCTTGGATGGTGGGAATCACCTCTTCCTGAGATCATGGAAAGGCACAACTAGTTAGAAGATGCAATGCTACGCTAAGCAGACCTGGGATTGGCCATGGGGTCTTTGTGTTCATATATGAATATGAAGGCCACTGGCATGTGTGGCCTGGCCAATTAGAGCCACCCCCAGAAGCTAGTGGACCACTTGCCGTACAACATGTATGGCTGGTGTCATCTCCTGTGACCCAATCAAGGCAGTAGCCCAGCTGCTGCAGCCCCACTTCCCTGCTCAACCAGCCACTCTGTGGCTCAGCAGGGAAACCCATCCTCCCGCCCCCTTGCTGGAGTGGTCAGGTGAGCAGGGAGGCAGGGCTATGGCAGCCAGGCTACTGCCATGATTGGGGCGCAGGAGATGACGCCATTTGGTAAGTGGTCCAGCAGATTCTGGGGGGTGGATGTTAATTGGGCTGGCCACCTGTGCCGGCATCAAATGCACTGATTCCTGCACTTAAGTGTCCAGGTGTTGTTGGACTTTAGTTCCCAGAATCCTCAACCAGCATGGCCTGATGTCATGGATTTGGGGAGCTACTGCCCAGCAACATGTGGAGATCCTATGAATGGTTTTGATCTGAGTCAGTGAAAGGCTGCACCACAGGCTGAGAATAACTTGTAATAAATTAGAAAGGAGCTCGTGGCTTCCTTGACAGTCCTTGTTGAAGTTTCCAGGTGCACATTTTAAAAATTTCTTACTTGTTTATGTTGCATCATTTCTAGACTGCCTACCATAAAACCAAGCAGTATAAGGGCAATAAAATTGCTCTTCTGTTGGACGTTTCCGTGCCAGCTTCAAGATGAAAAGTCCTAAATGATTTGGGACTTCAGCACCTGGCAGAATGCCTACTTCCATCTGGATGTCTCCTACACGAGTATCCCAAGCAGGCTAGCTGAGGATGCTGACACCAAGATAGGCCTGGCAGGAGAAGTTGAGACAGCAGGCCTTCTTATCGGTTGGTCTTCAGCTGTGGAATGAACTCCCTCCTGCAATTCATCTTACCCCCCCTTTTTTTGGCGACTATTTAGATGTCACTTAAAAAACTGTTATTCAGGCAGGCATCTCAAAATGTTATATCTGTGGAGTTTGCTGGACTTATCTACCCTAATTAATTAGATCAATACAGCCATTTTAAATGTTTATTATGTAAGTGTGTTTTAATGCTTGCTAATTGTATTGTTTATTTGTATTTTATTATTTTTTCTTTCCTTTTCTGTCACATTGATATTGTAATTACACTGCCGCTGTGTTTTGCTATAAACTGCCCAAAGTGGGGCTCAGCCAGATGAGTATAAAAGTATAATGAGTGAGTGACTGAGTGTGTGCATGCGTGCATGCATGAGTAAATAAATAAATATTGGATGTCATTGGTGCCACTCTGACTCGGGATGTGGCAACTCGAAATTCTGCAGACTGGTGTTGTGTCAGATTGGTCTCCCAGGTTTATGAACCAATAAATTCTTCTTGACCTTCTTTTCCCTTTTATTATACCCTGAATGATCAGTTATAGCTACCTGTCCTTTTCATTTCTCCTCCCTTGACCAAGGCCAGGAGTAGAGGAGTATGACAACACGGGGGTGAAATGTAGAAGTGAGAAAGAGTTCTTTTTGTGTGTTTTGCCTGGAAGTACATTCCTTTCTACTCAGAGGGCATTACTTACGAATAATGGTGTCCCTGATTACAAGTTTAGAAATTGAAATGAAATAACCACATCTTCACTGTTGTGTACAAAGGGTGTTATCCATTTCCTATTGTAATAAATAACAGTTGGTTTCCATTTATAGTGGATTTCAGGCCAAATCTCATGTTTCCTTCTAACTTTTGTCTCTTCTCCAGACAACAAAGATCTTTATCTTTCAAAAGCAATTCACAAGTCTATCTTTGAAGTTAATGAAGAAGGCTCTGAAGCTGCTGCTGCCTCAGGTATATGCTTTTGGAAACTATGGACTTCACTACATGCACAGGCTGATATGTATAGGAACCAGGCCACCATCTTTCCTTCCCAGTTCTTTAAAAATATTTGATATTTGTACTAGCCAAATATAGTGCCCAAATACTGAGCTTATAGCAATTGAATTGAAGTACTCCTTTGAAGTTTGTATGATAGAGGTTTTATTTGGGGGGGGGGGGTTAATTGTTTCAGGAAATCCTTTCAAGAGCCCTAAACCTGTTTGCAAAAGCTCTTGAATTTGGCAGATATGCTTTGCCATGGAAAGGCCATGTGAATCTGTCTCTTTCTGTTTAGGAAAATAAAGAAGTGGGAAATTAGGGAGAGGTGGAGGAAGGAAGACTGACAATCTATGTGTAAATCTAGAAAAGATATGAGAAAAAACACAGCTGGATTGCTGGTGCTCAGTGAGAAGCTAAAGCATGTCTTGATACTGAAACTGGGAATATTATTTATGTATTTAAAATATTTTTACCCCACTTTTCTCCTTAAAAAGGACACAAGGCGGCTTACATAATTAAAAAACAATATTTCACGCTAAAAACAGTATATGAGTATATAAATAACTAAAAAAAGGCTCAAACATTTGCCACACTAAAAAACCATAAACAACAGCAACCCCAAAAACACATTCAAAGCAGTAAGGCACAACAGTCTATTAAAAACCCCTACTCAGTCAGCCAGTCACTCACTCAGGGCAAGCTTGCCTGTAGAGAAGGGTCTTTTTACCCAGTCACTCACTCAGGGCAAGCTTGCCTGAAGAGAAGTGTCTTTGTACAGCAAAGATGGGGCCAGTTGGGCCTCCTGTGGGAGGGAGTTCCACAGCCTGGGAGCAGCAACAGAGAAAGCCCTCTCCCATACGCCCACCAAATGCACCTGTGAAGAAAGAAAAAGGCCTCTCCTGCTGATAACACTCAGGGGATCTCATAAAGTGAGATGCGGTCCTCAGACCCTAGCTGTTTAGGGCTTGTTTGTTGTTGTTGTTGCCAATCCACTGCAGTTATATAGCAAAGAATTTGATCTGAGTGTAGGAAATAATTTTTACAATGAGCCGGAAATAATGCAGGAACACAGTTATGTTCAGTAGAGACACTAAATAGGAATAGTTTTTGTTACGGAAGGCTAGGCAGTTGAGCTGTTAGCTTGTCAGGTGTAAATATTCACTTTCCTTATCAGTGAACAATTTTTTTGTACTTTATGTCACAAATTGATCTGTTGAGATTTTGTGAGTGTGTGTGTGTTGTAAGGAGAAAGACAATTCTTCCTGACTAGACCACAGTCCCCAAGTTATGCAAACAGCTATTGCCCTCACGCCTGAGTTTGTAGACTTTTCATTCTTTCCCCCACATGTCAATGTAATAATAATAATAAAAAGTTCCAAAACTGCTTGGAAAGCACAAAGTTCTCCAGAGGGCAGTTATTAAAATTTTCGAAATTTAATTAAAACTGAACCCTGCCTTGCTGCTAATATGTTTGGCCCGGAGTATTCCCTTTGCGTGCCAAGATATTAAAAATTAAATCTCCTCACTGTAATGCCGCTTTGTAACAATCATTTGAGGCTGTCACAATTCTGAGCTATTTTTAACTAGTTTATCCGGTTATCCTGCGGACATCATAAGAGTGCCTATTGCTTCCGAGCCCTACCTTGGCTATAAATGATGAAGTAAAAAGTGAAGGCTTTCACGACAACAGGGAGACGACAGTGGAGATTAAGAGACTGTCATATAAAGACAGCTAAGTCTTGCTCAGTACGTTCCAGTGCATGAACATCTTTGAGCCCTTCTGGCTTAGGCACATGGTTAGGACTAGATGTGTTCAAGAAGAATAAGGGAATGGATACCTCATTACCTCGTGTGGTCTCAGCATCAAGACACTGAGTACCAACTATGGGGAGGCAATTGCAGGAGAGAATTGTTGCCTTCATGCCTCTCTTGGAGGCTTCTGGTTACCCGCTGTAGAAAACACAAAATAGACTGGGTGAGCTCTCGCTGTAATATTGTCCCTGACCAAAGGAAACTAGCCAGTCAGAAATGACAAGGGATCCTAAGCCTGGTGTCACAGCAGAAAGTAATTGCTCTGAGGTCAGCATCCAAGGGGAGAAGCAGGCTGGACAACTGCATCCTCTTGGGAGGTGAGACCATGGTTGTAGCCAACAGAAAGCCAAAAGCATGGCTTTGGTGAGTATTTAAGGAATGGAATTGGTACA